AAAAAATTTATTAATATTGTAATACTCCAAAATTTTGTGATATTTAGCATTAAGTTAGGGACTAACTTGTGAGGAAAGTATTGTTTTGGGCTTAATAACCAAAATTTCGGAACTTGAGGGACTTAAAGAGGGAAAGAATTTGGATAAGGATGGCTTCTTTTCTTTTTCTTTTTCCTTCTTTCTTTCTTCTCCAGCCGGCGCGTCTGCTCTTCTTTCCCGTCCCCCTGCAGCCGAACAAAAGAAGCCAGCCGCCGGTGACATTTCCTTGAGAAAACCGGTGAGAAAGCTTGGATTTCTCCTTCTTTTCTTGCTCTAAAACACATGTAGAACCCAGAAACGTTCCCCCTCTCTGCAGAAATCCAGATCTGCTGCTGCTTCCTCCTCCTCACCGTCGGCTGCTACTGCTTTGTGGGAGTGAATTGCTCGGTTTTTTTGGTAAGAAATAGCTCGAAATTTCCCTTTTCTCACTTGATTTGGGCTTGGGTTTGTTTTAATTCCTCTTGGTTCTTGAATTTTGATAGATTTCCCGTGAGTCCTCTGCAGTTTGCCGCCGGCCCTTCCCCCAAACTGCAGTCCGGTTTTGCTTGCTGGATTTATGGTATGTTGACAGCTCCAAGCCCGAAATTTTATTAGTTAATTACTGCCCCATAAGCTGTCCGAATGTTTTCTAAATTAGGGGATAATTCCGGTAGCTTTAGGATAAAGTTTAAGCATTGATTCAAGTGCAATTTATGTGATTGAGTCTTAATTGACTGCTGTGATTTTTGGAGAGAAAATCCCATGGAATTAGCTAGTGTTTTGGCCAATTTTGGAAGTGTAGTTACTGTTCACGACACTGTTAACAGAATACTGTTCACACACCGAGGGTAAACAATTGACGGGGATTTAAATGTTTAGTTTGTGATATAAGAACAAATTTGGAGATGTCCGATCATGTGGAAATTGATAGAAATAGCATCATGATTAGGGGTGATCTTAATGAAGTTTCACTTTGAATTTGTGGTAGTATAGAATTAATTCTTGAATATTTTGATTAGGTTCCCGATTGTTCTGTCAGTTAGTATTGAGATCGAGTCTTCGGTTTTATGCGAGTGAGGTAAGTAAATTTATGGTAATGCCCGTATAGTTTTTAAAAGCATGTTTTGATTTGTTTTTGAAGTGATGGCGGGACTAAACCCGTTTTACACGAGCATGACTGATTTGAAGTGAAGTTTTTATGCTTTTCATTAAGTTGAGCATGCCTACTTGAAATTTAATTGATTGTCCTGATGATTTGAAAATGATTGGTGAATTATGATTTTTTTTGTTAAATTCTGCCTGTTTTGTCTCCGATGTGGTTATGTTATTGATGATCCTGCTAGTGGAGGTTAAACGCTAACACATGTCGACATGTTATTGATAGAACCGGTTCGTTCAAGTGTAACTTGCCAGTGGGAGGTTTAAACACTAGCCATAACCTATAAAGGAGACGTCTATTTCGTTCCCGTACTGTATCCGTTTTTCATGATTGCACTTGTTGGCATGCTATAAGTTTAATAAGGGCACTCCATATTTTACTTACTAAGTTTGTCTCATAGTTTTCCTTGTCCACCATTTCAGGAAGCGAAATTGAGGACGGAGAAACCACGGGAAGTAACGAGTTAGAAAGCTAGCCATTTCGAGATTGATATAGATTTTAGAAATAGATCATGATCCTGTAAGCTAGACTGTAATTGGAGTTTTATGATATTAGAGCAAATTATAAAATTTGATCTTTAGATTTTGTGGTATCAGATGTGAATTGGATAAGTTCTGAGCCTTGTGCATTTGTGGGACCCTTTCACGAGTGCACGGCGTCTATCGTGTCCCGGATTTGGGTTATGGGGCGTGACAAATATATTATAAATTAGAAATATAATAATATAAATTTTTACATGTATTTATAATTAATTTATATAAAAAATTATAAAAATTGATATTTAAATAGATAATTTTAATTGATTAATTAATTAATTTAAATTAATCTTTATAATTTGTTATATAAATTAATTAAAAAATTACATGTATTTTACATTTTGGAAGGTTTAGAAATATGATAATAACATTTTGACGCCCACCATACTCGAACACGCATTTCCTCCATAATGGGCGAAGTGACAAACTAGTAGAGCAACTCCACCTATCTTGTTAGATTACTCCATCATATTATATTTATTCATATGTAATGAAGTCGATGGTTTGAACGATTTAACCAGTTAAACCGATCAAACCAAGAACCGAATGGCAAAACGATTTGACTTCCGGGTCGGTTTTCAAAACATTGGTTAGAATTGTGATGAAATTTAGATCGTTAAAAAATCTCTTATCACTAATATTTTTAGTAACAAATTTAGCACTTGTCATAGAAAAAAATTTTATAGTGATGCAAAAAATCAACATTACTAATGAGTTATTTATAATGATTTTATTTATCATAAAAAATAATTTTTGTCATAACAATTTTCGTCATAAAAATTACAACTAAATGACAAATTATTTGTGAAGTAATATTTAATCATTGATTATTTAAATTGATATTAAACTAAAAAGGATATTTTTATAATTATAACATACATTAATGATGAAAAATAACGTCACAGTAGAATTATTTAATCACAACATTTATAATTTCAAAAAAGTTTTAGGATTTAAAATCTAAAATCTATAAAAAAAAAAAAAGGAATTTGATTAATAAAAATTTTGATAAATTCGTAATTGTCTAAAAATATTGCTAAAGAAAAAAAAATGATAACCTTTAAATATATTATTATATCAATATGTAGTACAAAATAGACATAAAAATAACAAACAAATGATTAAAAAAAATACAAAATACATTAATAAACATCGCCTTCTTCCTTTCTCTATTATCATCTCCAGCCACCATCTAATTCCCTTGCGTTTGGTGCTTTGAAAACCAAATCTTAGGAGGAGAAATGAATAAATAAATCTAAGGCTTACTTAATCCTCTCGTCTCTTGAATTTCCTTGCAAGAATTTTATCCTTTTACTTCTTTTACACTTGGACTTGAAAGGACTTTAGATTGGTCATAAATATGCAAAATTCATGATAAATAAGTCATCAGTGGCTAAGACTTGTGTAGGTTGATTGAGGAATTCTAATTTTAAAAATGAGAATTTTAAACTTGTGTAGGAGAGATAGGGAAACCCCACCATTTATCTGTTGTCGAACACAAAAATGAAGAAAATATTAACATTTATCATAATAATAGTAATTGAGTTCCTAATTAAACTATGAGGAGTTATTAATTGAAAAAAAAACGGCTTAATTTAACAATTCATCTACTAACTTTCATATTTTTTTTCAGTTTCATCTATTATCCTTGGATTCTTCCAATCCTGTTTATTATCTTTCAGATTCATTTCAATTTTGTCTAGTCTATTATCTTTGACAAAAAAACTTCCTATTCTATTAGAGAACAATTAGTCCTCTAACTATATTTATTTTGATCTTTCAATCCTCAAATTTATGTTTGTTGTAAAAACAGCTTTTATACTTAAAATTATTGTTTTTTGGCTCTGATACCAGATTTTTCTACGAGCTTTTAGAACAGATTTTTCTATAGATTTTCAGAGCCTAACTCAGACTACTACTGACTAATGAATAGCTGGTATGTTAAGCTCAGTAAGCGCAGAATTAGATCTACTAAACTGCTAACAAAGATAATCTTTGCTTGGTCTTTTTTAATCTTTTTAGATCTTCAGTTAAATCTGCAACTGTTTGCTTCAACTTTTGAGATTCTTAGATAAATGATAATCATCTTCAATATTACTTATTTTTCTAAAATTTTTGCTATTTTATTTCTATAATATTCGCATTGCTGCTCATAAACTATCTTATCTACAATAATTTATTGAATAAAATCAAGCATCTTAAATTATAATGGTTTAATATAAAATGAAATTTTCTATTCAAATTATAAGATGTCAAGTACTATTTCCCCATTATTTCTCATCTAAAAAATAATCTAATGTTAAAGAATAATAAGGTTGTTTCTATCCCCACCTTGCTTCTACATGATAAAATAAATGAGTTAGAATTTTACTTGAAAATCCTTTGGACTAGCCTTCAGTCAAGCAAATGCTTCCTTCGTCCAACCTTTAATGCCAAACTCAAGTTATAATGGGTATTCGGACAGGACAAGTGACTTTACTATTGCCTTAGTTTCTTTAGGATTCTTCCCATTATATTTTATGATAGAAATAAAGTGTAATATCCCAAATTTTTCTAGGACCTTAGAATTTAAGTTAGGGATTTATGTGAGAGAAACTATCTTCTACAGGGCCTAATGGTCACAAATTTCAAACTTAAGGGGGGTGGAGTTAAAAAAAAAGGGGGTGCGGGTTTCAGGAGTATAAGCTCCCCGATTCCCCCATTTTTCTTCTTGTTTTGAAACCCTAACTCATCCCCAACCATCCTCAGTCTGTCACCACCATCCT